CCCCCAGGCCTCGAAGAGAACTAGTTTTGAAATCAGGCGAGCAAATAACCACTTTCTCCTACCTTGTCTCTCCTCGCTATTTCTGACCCTGGTATCCCCAAGTTCCAAAGGAAGATGACTGGCCATCTGTTGAGCAAGGGTCACTGGGGGAATGAGGGGTAGCTGTGAATCAAAGAATCATAGAGTTGGAAGGGACCTCCAGGGTCATCTAGTCCAACCCCCTGCACAATGCAGGGAATTCACAAATACCTACCCCTACACCCCCAGTGACCCCTGCTCCATGCCCAGATGACGACAAAAAATCCTCCAGGATCTCCAGCCAAAATGGCCTGTGTGTTTCCTGCACTGTGTGTGGGGTTGGACTAGATGACCTTTGGGTCCCCTTCTAGCTTTATGTCTCTATTGATTACGGCATTGAGGGTGTGCAGCCCAACATGTTCTGTTCTCCATCATGACCTCCCACCCTTAGGGCTACAAAATTTGGATGCAGTAGACAAGCACAAGAGTCCAGGAGCACCTTAAAGATGAACAACATTTGTGGCAGAGGGGGACCTTTTGTGAGTCATGGCTCACTTCTTCAGGTGCTACTGGGCAGGGGGTTCCTGCTCTTTTCTCCTGCTACAGGCAGAGTAACGCGGCTACCCATCCCATCTTGAACATTTGGATGCATGTTGAATTCCTATCCGAGCCCCTTCCAGCCTGCTACTGGGAGTTGCCAACTCTGGACTGGGAAATTCCTGGAGACTTGGGGGTGGATCCTGGGAAGGGGGGGAAATCTGGGAAGAAATTTCACCTAGAATCTATGGTATACCATAGAGCTGTCAGATAGTCCTGTCATAGCTCTGGAATATGGAGCGGTGCCCTCCCGTTTTCTGTCTCAGCTCTCCCTGGCTCACCAACTGTTTGCTGTCTTATGCTTGACCTTGTAGATGCTCCAGCTGCAGTTCTTCTCAGCTGGGAAAGTTAACGGCTTTTGCTTTGCCTGCTTGCTTTTGCCCTTGCGCACGAGATGTATCCATTGGCTCATACTTACCGGGGTGTGTGTGTGTGTTTGATTCTAGTATAAGTCAGAGGCCCTAGTATTGGCAGCCATTCCTGACACAAGCTGTACACGTGTCTCTAGTTCTGGATTTACCAATAAACAGTTATCTTCTCATGAAGCCCTGTGTTGAGTAACCTGCCTAAGGACCCTGACAAAAGCCTTCCCTCTACAGTTGCTGTTTGCTCCAGGGGACCTGCTCTCTGTAGGATGGAAACCAGTTGTCTTTCCCGGGGAACTTCGGGCTCCACCTGGAGGTTGCCAGGCCTGGCTACTACACACAGTAAAAGCAGTCTTTGGCCCTATACGCTAGAAATCTGTAGACTGCGCTAACTATCATGGCATTCCCCAAGGTATCTGGTTAACTGTAGCTTGGTAAGAGGCAGAATTGTCTGTTAAGGATTGCTTATCTCTTCTCTTGGGGAATGACCGCTCACTCGGAAGAAGGAAAGGCTATTTAGCAGCTTCCTAGGGGTCGCCGATCCACACAGCACTTCAAAGTAAGTCTGGTGCTATTATCGGGATACCTGGGGAAGCTTTCCAGAGTCCTATTGCGGGTCACAGCAGGCATATGTTTGGCAGTGAGAACACTGGTCACTCCTTATCCCATTCTGGCAAATGGACGCCAGCATAAAGATGTCTCGTCTACAGCCGTTGCTAGATTTGAGTCTGGTAGCACCTTACAGACCGACAAAGTTACAAGGGTATAAACTTGCAAGATTCAAAGGAACTTTGACCAGGCCTGTATCTATGGTGGGGCTTTGGGGGAACCCGCCCCCTTTCTTAAAGGCTCAGCCCCACAAGAATTTCTCCTGTAAATGCTTTTTACAATAATTTTAAAACATTTTTAAAAGGTGTGCGCTCTTTTAAGCAGAGTGGGGTGCTGTAGCTGACTAATTCCCACCCTGAGCAAGGGGGTTGGAGTAGGTGACCTCTAGGATCCCTTCTACCTCTGTGTCAAGAAACAGGTCTCCTTTAAGAGAGCTTTTCTACCTAAGTGTTAGCTTTCTTGACTATAGAAGTCATCACCCCCACCTGCTGGCATGTTATCAGAATTGTTGCTCAGGCTGGCAGAAGTGATTAACTTGCAGCAGCTGAGAACTGTCGTCTAAAGTGGCTGACAGCTTGCAATTTAGAGATCTAGCCTGGTAACAGCTCCCCATTGGCTAAATGGCTTTTCTTTCTGCACTGAGAACTTCAGCCCCACCAGAAAAGAAATTGCCCCACAAAATCCTGGCTACAGGCCTGACTTTGACCTTGGAAAGCTCCTAGCCCGAAAATCTTATTGGTCTCTCAGGTGCTCCTGGACTCAAAATCCTCCCTCTTCTGCTTCAGGCCGCCACACTGAACCTCTGAACCTCTTCTCCCTGCGTGCGCGTTTCGCAAGCGTGCTACGTTTCCAGCAGCAGGAGGCAAAGAGCACTATTCGTGTGTCCGTCAGCTTTCAACTGGTGGGACAAGATACATCCTTTCTGAGTAAGAGGGAATCTCATTAATGGATCGGGAGGTAATGGGGGGCTTGCCTTGGCCCGCTGCGTAAAGACGAGCAAGATTTGAATCCAGTAACTGATCCTTTTTACATTGTAGCTGAGCACTCCATCTGGGTTTTGAATACTGTAGATTGGACCTAAACAGAACCGCGGGCATATAGAAGAAGAGGAGGAGGAGGAATTTATACCCCGCCCTTCACTATCTGAAGGAATCTCAGAGCAGCTCACAAACTCCTCTCCCTTCCCCTCTCCACAACAGACACCCTGTGAGGTCGGTGGGGCTGAGAGAGCTCTGAGAGAACTGTCCTTGAGAGAACAGCTGTGCCAGAACTGTGGCTTGCCCAAGGTCATCCAGCAGCTGCAAGCGGAGGAGTGGGGGAATCAAACCTGGGTCTCCCAGATTAGAGTCCGCGCACTTAACCACGACACGAAATAAAATAGGGTTGCTATCCCTCCAATGGGGGCAGGGTTTCCCCCACTTTTGGGGGCCCCAATCCGCCATCGGCCAGTTGGCCGGCGGGGAGAACCCTGCCCCCCGAAAAGCCCCGTCATGCCCAATGTGCATGGCGCAATGACGTCACCAGGAGCAGGCACAAGTGAAATCGGGATAGCCTGAGCCATCCAGGCCAAAGCAAGAGGTGAGCGGAGGTGGTTTGCCCTTGCCTGCCTCTGCGTAGCAACCCTGGACTTCCCTGGTGGTCTCCCATCCAAGACCTAACCGGGACTGACCCTGCTTAGCTTCCAAGATCTGATAAGTTCGGGCTACCCTTGGCTATGCAACTCAAGGCAAGAGACGTTCAGAGGTGGTTTAGCCATTGCCTGCCTCTGCACAGCAACCCTCAGATTCCCTGGTGGGCTCCCATTCAAGTACTAAATGGGGCCCACCCTGCTTAGCTTCCAAGATCTGATAAGTTCGGGCTACCCTTGGCTATGCAACTCAAGGCAAGAGACGTTCAGAGGTGGCTTGCCAATTGCCTGCCTCTGCATAGCAACCCTGGACTTCCCTGGTGGGCTCCCATCCGTGGACTAACCAGGACCGGCCCTGCTGAGCTTCCAATATCTGACAAGGTCAGGCTAGCCTGGGCTATGCAGCTCAAGGCAAGAGACGTTCAGAGGTGGCTTGCCAATTGCCTGCCTCTGCACAGCAACCCTGGGCTTCCCTGGTGGTCTCCCATCCAAGGACTAACCGGGGTCTCCCATCCAAATATTAACGAAATACTTAGCTCCCAAGAGCGGACGAGATTGGGCTACCCTGAGCCCATCCACGTCGGAGCAAATAATTAAGAGCTTTCCAGTCACAACCATCTTACGGGGACCCCCCCCCCACGGGGCTTTCAAGGCATGAGACGAATGGAGGGGGTTTGCCCTTGCCTGCCTCCGCATAGCAACCCTGGGATTCCCTGGTGGCCTCCCATCCAAGGACTAACCAGGACCGACCCTACTTAGCTTCTGAGGTCTGACGAAATCCGGGTAGCCTGAGCCATCCAGGCCAAGGCGAGAGATGACCGGAGGTGGTTTCCCATTGCCTGCCTCTGCGTAGCAACCCTGGACTCCCTTGGTGGTCCCACATCCAAGTACTAATCAGGGCTGACCCTGCTTAGCTTGGCCTGAGCCATCCAGGCCAAGGCAAGAGATGACCGGAGGTAGTTTCCCATTGCCTGCCTCTGCGTAGCAACCCTGGACTCCCTTGGTGGTCCCACATCCAAGTACCAACCAGGGCTGACCCTGCTTAGCTTGGCCTGCTTAGCTTGGCCTGAGCCATCCAGGCCAAGGCGAGAGATGACCGGAGGTGGTTTCCCATTGCCTGCCTCTGCGTAGCAACCCTGGGCTTCCCTGGTGGGCTCCCATCCAAGTGCCAACCAGGACGACCCTGCTTAGCTTCCAAGATCTGACGAGATCAGGTTAGCCTGGGCCATCCAGGGCAGGGCAAGAGACAAACAGAGGTGGTTTTGCCATTGCCTGCCTCTGCGTAGCAACCCTGGACTCCTTTGGTGGCCCCACATCCAAGTACTAATCAGGGCTGACCCTGCTTAGGTTTCTGAGATCTGATGAAATCGGGATAGCCTGAGCCATCCAGGCCAAGGCAAGAGATGACCGGAGGTGGTTTGCCATGGCCTGCCTCTGCATAGCAACCCTGGACTCCCTTGGTTGGTCCCACATCCAAGTACTAATCAGGGCTGACCCTGCTTAGCTTGGCCTGCTTACCTTGGCGGCTGGCCTGAGCCATCCAGGCCAAGGCAAGAGATGACCGGAGGTGGGTTTCCATTGCCTGCCTCTGCATAGCAACCCTGGACTCCCTTGGTGGTCCCACATCTAAGTACCAACCAGGGCTGACCCTGCTTAGCTCTCTGAGATCTGATGAAATCGGGACAGCCTGAGCCATCCAGGCCAAGGCAAGAGGTGGGCGGAGGTGGTTTGCCATGGCCTGCCTCTGCACAGCAACCCTGGACTTCCCTGGTGGTCTCCCATCCAAGTACTAACCATGACCGACCCTGCTTAGCTTCCAAGCTCTGACGAGCTCAGCAGCCGATTACTGCCGTGGCTGCCAGCCGCAAACCAACCAGGTGGTTCCAGACGCAGTCAAGGTACAAGCAGTGAAGGAGACCCCGTGTGCTTCCGGCCTCTCCCAGTTCTGGTAGCCAGCGGCACAGGCCGGGGTGGCGGTCCTTCATCGGCCGCGTGTTCCTCTACCACCCACTTGTTGACAGGGATAGTCCACGGTTCCTTTGCTGGCCATCTCATTGGCTGGCAATCCCACAATGCTTTGAGAGACGGAACTCTTGAGTGGCGCGTGAGACCGTGCGAGAAGAAGACAACAGAACATCTCAGGAGCCGTGGCGGAACGAATAAATATTGTCATGCTGCTTGAGAATAAGACACCACCAAAGAGAACAAAACCGAGGAGGAGGAGGAGGAGGAAGGAAGGGGGCGTGGAGGAAGGGAGGGAGGCCCGCCTCTCTCATCCGAGCGACAGACGGAAGCCCAAAGGCCCGGGCTTCAGAGAAGGTCAAAATCTAGCGGGGTGATACTGGCGATGGGGGCCCTCCAGAAGTTGAAGCTGTTGAACTGGAGGAGGGTGTCTTTGTTGGCCCCGTCTCCGAAGGCGCCCTGCTTCTTCCGGTCCGCCGTCGGGTTGCCGTAGCCCCCCTTCGGCTTGTAGACGGCCCTGTCGGCCAGCTCCATGCATTCCAGCTCGGACAGGTCCAGTTCCGGGATCGGCATCCTCCAGTAGAGGAAGGAGTTGTACTGGGAGTTGACGGTTTCCCTCATGGCTCACTAGGAAGAAGAGGGGAAGGGTACGCTGTTAAGGACAGTCGTTGCGGCTGACGGTAGAGACAAGAAAAAGGTAGATTTGAGTCCGGTAACACTGTATAGATCAATAATGATGGGGGGGGGATGAGCTTTCTTTTGGAGTGAGCGACTCAACGTGCCTGGACACTGGGGGGCGCTGCGTCACTCTAAGGCTGTGTAAGATGTTATCTCCTTGAACGAGATGCCTTTCTTTGTCTTAACCTGGGAGCTGCCCTCTGACCCCCTCCTCTCTGTGTACTTTGTCCTCTCCCTCTCTCTTCACATGGCCTTCCATGGAGACATATGCCTCTGTAGGTCTCTCCTGTAGAGAGAATGCCCTCCTACTCCCACACACATGATGCCAGACAAGCTGGCCACTGGTGATAGGGGAAGGAGTCTTTAGATTGGGCTTCTCTTTCTCTCCTTTCGACTACCGCCTGCATGTGAACTGGATCTACCTGAATAAATGTAAGTCTACCCTCTTTTGCAATATACTATATGGGAGATTTATTGGCTGCACTCGCTATCACGCTACTTTGAGCCCGTTTGGTGTCGTGGTTAGGAGCGCGGACTCTAATCTGGGAGGACCGGCTTTGATTCCCCACTCCTCCACGTGCAGCTGCCGGTGTGACCTTGGGACAGTCACAAGTTATCTCAGAGCTGTTCCCTCAGGAGCAGTCCTCGAAAGAGCTCTCTCCGCCCCACCTACCTCCCAGGGTGTCTCTTGTGGGCAGGGAAAGGAGCTTCCTTTGGGTAGTGAAGGGCGGGGTATAAATCCAATCTCTTCTTCTCTCTCCTCTTCTTCTATGCCTGGGCAAAACTCTCCTACGTTAACCAAACTTCCCAATACTCTCAAAAGCCATAGTTCCAACAAGATTTTTGGGCTATGAGCGTTCACAGACTTGAAAGCTCATGCCCCAAAATTTCATTGGTCTCTGAGGTGCTGCTGGAACTTCAGTGTAGCTCTTCTACTGGAGACCAACATGGCAAGCCTCTGAAACGTGAGACAAGAATGCAGTCAGTGGGCATCAGGGTTGCCAGTCCCCAGTTGGGGGGGGGGTCCCCTGGTTTGGAGCCCTTCCCCCCCTCTTCAGGACTGTCAGAAAGTAGGAGGGGGGAGAACGGCTGCTGGGCGCTCCATTATACTCTATGGAGACCGGTCCCCATAGGGTATAACGGAGAATCGGTCTGTGGGTATCTGGGGGCTGGGGGGCTGTTATTTTGAGGTGGAGTCACCAAATTTTTGGCATAACTGGTGGTGCCTCTCCTGAAAAAAAACACCCCTCCAAGTTGCAAAAAGATTGGACCAGGGAGTCCAGTTCTATGAGCCCCAAAAGGAGGTGCCCCCGTCTTCCATTATTTCCAACGGAGGGAAAGCGTTTATTTTGTATTTATTTTATTGCTCGTTTGTTCAGTTTATACTTTGTTCATTTGTTTATACTTTTGTTTGTTCAGTTTATACTTCTCAAGACTTAAAAATGGACAATATCAGTACATATTCATTTAAGGTTGATGACTTGGTTATTTGTTGTCAAAACCAAGGAGATGTACAAGAAATAGCAGATGAACTGAACAAAGAAGTTGAAGTGAAACAATTAGGACCCATAAAGTGCTACCTTGGAATACAAATTGAAAGAACTGAGGATGGAAGTTTTCTTTTGAGCCAAAAACAAAAGATCATGGACTTTATTGAATCTGTGGGAATGAAACGTTCCAAACCAGTGAGCACACCTCTTGAAAAGGATTATCTCCAGAATACAGATGGACCACCACTTAAAGACAACCACGAATACAGATCCGCGACTGGAAAATTAGTGTACTTGAGCACAATCTGCAGACCAGATATAACTTCAGCTGTTGGACTGTTATGCAGAAAGACCAGCTCACCAACTATCCATGACTGGAAAGCCATAAAGAGACTGGCAAGATATCTAATAGGAACTTTGGACTACAAACTTAAAATCTCATCCTGTGATAGTCCAAGACAATTGTAAACAATCCAAACGATCACAAAGTACTAGCGACAATGAAGCTAATAACAATAGTATTGCATGGAGATGGCGGAAGCAATAATGATGGAATATTCAAGTGGGATACCGCCTGTGTTGATGGTCAGCTCATCTTAATCTATTTATTTATTATAATCTATTTATTATTATTAATTATAATCTGTTTGTTTATGTGGCGGGTAATTCCAGCAGAAAGCAAGCAAGCAAGCACTGTACAAATAACACAAATAACACAGAGCAGGGCTATTTTTGGGCAGGAGCGCACAGGAACGGAGTTCCGGCTGGCTCCCGAGTTGGCCACGCCCAGCAGGAACTCATTAGCCTAATAGGCCACACAGAAACTCATTAGGATTGGCTACATTAGGGGTGTGTGGCCTAACATGCAAAGGAGTTCCTGCTACAAAAAAAGGCCCTGGGTTTTGACAACAAACAAGGTAAACAGAATAACAAGCAAAAGGTGGGTGTGGCTGGATAACCACACTTCTGGTAACATGGGGGTGTGGCCTAATGTGCTAATGAGCTGTGCTGTCAGGGGTGTGGCCCAATATGCTAATGTGTTCCTGCTGTTGGGTGTGGCCTATTATGCTAATGAGTTCCCAGCTGGGCTTTTTCTACAAAAAGAGCCCTGAAAAAGAGTAAATTTATATGACAAGAATAACAGAGGACCACATGTATCAGTAAAACCAAATTACATCATATAATGTGCAGGTCCATGAATAGTGCAAGTCCATAAATGGTACACCGACAAGGACGAAGAGTCCGGATTGCGATCTTCGTTTCGATAGCACCTCTTCAAGAAGTTCACACTACTTCATAAAGTACTCATAATGTACAGAAGACTTTATAATGGTGTATGTAGGAGGAAAAATCCTTAGCGCAGCACTCACAGTGTATAAACGCCTTCAGACCAGCTTACTGATTATTGGAGGGTTTGTTCTATTGTTAATCGGGTGCCCGGCAATGAATGATTATAATAGGACTGAGTTTTTTCCTGTAATACTGGTGGTCCTCTGTTATTCTTGTCAATCAGGGCTCTTTTTGTAGAAAAAGCCCAGCAGGAACTCATTAGCATAATAGGCTACAGCCCTGACAGCACAGCTCATTAGTATATTATGCCGCACCCCCATGTTACCAGAAGTGTGCTCATCCAGCCACACCCACCTTTGGCTCCTTATTCTGTAGCAGGAACTCCTTTGCATGTTAGGCCACACACCCCTAATGTAGGCAATCCTAATGAGTTCCTGCTGTTGGGTGTGGCCTGTTATGCTAATGAGTTCCTGCTGGGCGTGGCCAACTTGGGAGCCAGCCGGAACTCCGTTCCTGTGCGTTCCTGCCCAGAAATAGCCCTGCTTGTCATATAAATTTACTCTTTTTGCATGACTTTTTGAGCACTTGTGGTCTGTGTCATTTGTACAGTGCTTGCTTGCTTTCTGTATGTTGTATACTGTGATATTGCATCTGTTTAGGGTTGCCAAGTCTGGGTTGGAAAATACCTGGAGACTTTGGGGGTGGAGCCAGGAGAGGGCGTGGTTTGGGGAGGAGAGGGGCCTCAGCATAGTACAATGCCATAGAGTCCACCTTTCAAAGCATCCATTCTCTCCAGGGGAGCTAATCTCTGTCGACTGGGGATCAGTTGTAAAAGCGGGAGATCCCCAGGCCCCACCTGGAGGCTGGCAACCCTACATCTGTTTATGGTAATTCCAGCAGGGCAGGGCCTTATCACGGTCCCTTTAAATGTGATGGCCAGAACTCCCTTCGGAGTTCAATCGCATTTATTCCCTCCCCTCTCCTGAAATCTCCTGGCAAGTCCCCCCCACCGGCTACCCTCGTGTGATGTCACATCCTTGTTCCTTGCTCCGCCCCCAAAGTCCCCAGATGTTTCCTGAGTCTGACCTGGGAACCCAAGCGCCGGGCATCACTTTGACCGGATGGTGCGATACTGCTCAGAGCCGCTGTGTCCAGCTCTCCTGGAACTGAGACCCACCTTGAACACCCAAGCTGCCTGCCGCATGGGAGTCCAGTGTGCTGCAGGCACATGACATCACAATCAACATGACAGGAAGCAGTGGAAGTCAGGATTATGATCTCACCAGAATCAAGGTCTGGAAGGTGGATCGAGAGGGCTTTCTCTACTAAATGACCCCCGGGCACAATAATTTCTCTTTGCGAGCACAAAGACTCTTTTTTAAAAAAAGAGAAGAAGAAGAAGAGAAGAGATTGGATTTATACCCTGCCCTTCACTTGGAGTCTCAGAGCGGCTTACAAACTCCTTTCCCTCCTCCCCCCCCCCACAACAGACACCCTGTGAGGTGGGTGGGGCTGAGAGAACTATGACACAAACTGCCCTTTTTCAAGGACAGCTATGCCAGAGCTTGTGACTGACCCAAGGTCACATCAGCAGGTGCAAGTGGAGGAGTGGGGAATCAAACCCGGTTCTCCCAGATTAGAGTCCGCACACTTAACCACTACACCAAACTGGCTCTTAACAACGTTTTTTGTTAAGTATAAACAATACTTATGTAGCAATAAATAACAATAACTTACATAACAAAGAACATAAATCCAAATCGTTATTACATAGTACTATATAATAGATTATAAAGAAGAACCACTTTAAGAACATTTAAAAGAACACATAATCAGTATATTTTCCTGGCAACTCGAAACTTTGAGACTGTTCATTATTAATATAATCAAAAAACACAAACCATTTTTCAGTGAATGATGGAGTAAAGGTATTTGATTCTCTTGATAACAACTGAGTTGCAATTTTATCAGAAAGTATATTATCCCATACTTTGGACCTCCACAAGGACAAGGAAGGGATTTTTTTGCTTTTCCAATGAAGGGCAATTAAAACTTTTGCCGACATTAATAAAATAGATATTGCTTCTTCAGTCTGTCTACTGAAATGTAATTTGGCCAGTAATGTAAAAGAATGGAGGTTGGAGTGAATGGGATATCATAACCTGTAATGTTTTTTATTCCCTGTAAAACTTCAGACCAAAAATGTTTTAATTTTGTACAAGAAAACCAACAGTGCAGCACAAAGACTCTTAAGATAGCAGCATATTTTCTCGGGTCCCATCAGAACCCTTGTGGCAGACATTATAACCTATCTAGGATAGCAGATCCATCAAATTTATCAGGTAGCCACAGCTACCTACATAGGTTATGCTATCCTAGATAGGTTATTATGTCTGCCACAAGGGTTCCAATGTATGTTTACCTTTCCTCTCCCCCATATATTTCACGGGAGAGTTACTTCGTCTCCTCAGTTTCACGCTTCTATGACTAAGGAACCTCTAATATGCATAGCCCTGGTTACACGGGCCAGATAACACGGGGTGGGTGGGTAGGCGTGACTTTTTGCGCCGGCGCAATTTAACGTGCCAGAACGCGATCCGATGCTGCGGCGGCAAAGTGGGGTTTTGTTTGTCGGCACATGTTTTCGGCGTGCATTAGGGCTGCCAAGTGGGGTCGGGGGTCGGGTAAACCCCCACTTCGGAGGCCCGATTTCCACCGCCGCGGAATCGGGCACCGGGGGGAACTCCGCCCCCCCCGAAGCGCAGTGTGGCTGCGTCGCCAGAGGTGACGCAACCATGTCAATCACGTTGGGGGCATGGCCCCGAACGTCGGAGGGAAAACTCTACAGTTTTCCCTCCAACGATCGGGGCCACACCTTCAATGTGATCGATGTCGCATGTCACTTCCGGTGACGTGCTGGCGGCACGCGCGCGCAGATCGAAGAATGGCTCCCGGAGCCCAGCGAGGCTCCCCTACCAGTAAGAAAATTTGACTTGGCAACCCTAGCGTACATCAAGAGCGCGCTTGAGCGATCACACATAGGTATTCTGTCAACGGCCCATAGCAAACCGTTTGCTAATAGGCTTTCCCGGGTATTTTTTAACTCCGGATTTTTGAGTGGATGCTACGGGTCGGCGACGGGTGTGCTACGCTTGCCAGATGTGTCCTTCTGATCATGCCCGTATACTCCGCCCGACAGTCGTGCCTCTCTCACCACAAATGCTGCATGTGAACAGGGCCTACATTAACCAAAAATCTCCCTACCATGAAGGGGTTGCATCAGCCCCATAGCCAGAAATTTTCGATTGGTGGGGCATGGGGAAATTTTGTGAGGCAGCAGTTCGAAAGCTCCTGCCAACCTAGCAGTTCGAAAGCAAGAAATTGCAAGTAGATAAATAGGGACCGCTTCGGTGGGAAGGGAACAGCGTTCCGTGCGCCATGGTGTTTAGTCATGCCGGCCACATGACCACGGAAACGTCTTCGGACAGCGCTGGCTCTTCGGCTTGGAAACGGAGATGAGCACCGCAACCCTGGAGTCGGATTCTACTGGCTTTCGAGCAAGGGAGACCTTTACCTTTACCTTTAGGAAGGGAGGGGTGAGGGGAGGGAGGGGCAGCGACAGGCCTTCCCTGAACTCCAAGCCACGATTTCACCACTTTGGAGTTCACGGAACATGTGTAGCTGCCCGTCTCCCTCCCTCCCTGCAAGGTTTAAAGGGCCCCCCAGCTGATTGGCGGGACCACGTGCTCCCACTGATCCGTTGGAGGGTCCTTTTAATGTCACAGGAGGGGAGGGGGAGCGTGCTTCACATTTGAAGGGGCAAAGCCCCGAAATGCCCCGCCGTAACTATGAGCCAGGGTTGTGTTGCTTCCAATGGAGCATGTTGGTAGCTATTGAGTCAAGAGCTCTCTCAGCCCCACCTGCCTCACAAGGTGTCTGTTGTGGGGAGGGGAAGGGAAAGGAGTTTGTAAGTCGCTCTGAGACACCTTTGGGTAGTGAAGGGTGGGGTTTAAATCCAATCCCTTCGTCTTCTTTTTTGTGGGGAGGGGAAGGGAAAGGAGTTTGTAAGTGGCTCTGAGACTCCAAGTGAAGGGCGGGGTATAAATCTAACATCTTTTTCTTCTTCAGAACGTAAGAACCTAAGAAGAGGCCTGCTGGATCAGACCAGTGGTCCATCTAGTCCAGCCTCCTGTCTCACAAAGGGGCCAGCCAGTTCCTCTGGGGGGCCAACAACAGAGCAGGGAGGCCGAGGCCTTCCCCTATTGTTGCCTCCTTTCTTTGGAATTCAGAGTATCGGTGCCTCTGAACGTGGAGGTTCCCCTCAGTCACCGTGGCTAGTAGCCACTGATCGACTTATCCTGCATGAATCTGTCTCATCCCCTTTTAGAAGAAGAAGAGATTGGATTTATACCACACCCTTCATGTAGTGTATTCTGAAGCTGCCAGGAATACCTAAGATGTAATGTGAAACATCTCATAAGGAAGCAATGTTAAGCTTCGTCTTGAACAGGAATTGAAGTTCAAGACTAATGCGTCCAATCAGGTTCAAATGTATATAAGCGGGAAAAACTCTGATTGGTCCTTATTCGCTCAACCTGATAGGTTGATAACTGTATAGTAGGAATGGCTACATTAGCCCGGAATGTTTAAATACCGAACAGCTGCAATGGAAAAGCTGTTCGGGCTATCAGAAGTTGTACCGTGTTAGAGAAGTGATCGTCGAGCTGAAATAAACCTGAGTTTTGCTGAAATCACTCTCTGACCATTTTGTTAAGTGTTGGACTTAACACTTCACTACCCAAAGGAGTCTCAAAGTGGCTCACAAACTCCTTTCCGTTCCCCATCCCTGCAACAGACACCCTGTGAGGTAGGTGGAGCTGAGAGAGCTCTTGACAGAAACTGCTCTTTCAGGAATAGCTGTGCCAGAGCTTGTGACTGACCCAAGGTCACAACAGCAGGTGCAAGTGGAGGAGTGGGGAACCAAACCCGGTTCTCCCAGATTAGAGTCCGCGCACTTAACCACTACTGTTTATTCCTGTGGCCATCACTACCTCCTCCAGTGTTCCCTCTAAGCTGAGTCAGTGTGAGCTAGCTCACAGTTTTTCAGCCTCCAGCTCACACATTCTTGTCTTAGCTCAGGAAGGACGGCTCCAGAGCAGACTAATCTACGCAGCGGCCAAATCGCTCGCTCACAACTTTTAATACCAGGAGCTCACAAAGTAGGATTTCGGCTCACAGGACTCCACAGCTTAGAGGGAGCATTGACCTCCTCTGGCAGTAGGGTGGCCAGTCTCCAGGTGGGGCCTGGAGGTTTCCTGCTTTTCCAACTGACCTCCCGCTGACCAGGGGTCGTTTCGTAGAAAAAGAGCTAGGGGAACTCATTAGCTTAACTCATTAGCATATGCCACACCCCCTGACATCACCGGAAGTGTGTCATAAGGCCACACACCCTGACATCACCGGAAGTGTCTCATAAGGCGACACACCCCGCCCCCAACGGTCCCGGCCGCCACTGCAAGGAAGCCCCGCGAAGGCCCTCCCTGGCCCCAGGCAGGCAAGGGTGGGGAGAGGCGGGGAGGAAGCAACTTACCCTCCCTCTTCTCCTGCCTCCTCCTGGCTAAATGAGGGCAGGATGCGGGGCGGCCGGAAGCAGGGGGCGGGGCTTCGTCATGTGCCCCGCCATCCGTACCTCACCCGGGGGAACTGCGATCCCCCGCGATCCCCCCCCCCGAAATGACCTCTGCAGCTGACAGAGATTAGCTTCCCTGGAGAAAATGGCTGCTTTGAAGGGTGGACTCTGTGGCCTTGTACCATGCTGAGGCCCCTCCCATCTCCGAACCCCGCCCTCTCCTGGCTCCATCCTCAAAATCTCCAAGTATTTCCCAACCCAGACCTGGCAGCCAATTTGACATTTTAATCACTGTCTGTGTAAAGTACTCTTTCCTTGTCTGTCCTGAATCTACTGCCCATCAACTTCATTGGCTGCCCTCGAGTTCTAGTCTTTTGGGAGAGGGAGAAATTTTTTCCCCTTTGTCGGCTCCCCTCACCTCATGCCTGATTTTATACATCTCTCTCGTGTCCTCCCTTAATCGTGTCCTCCCGAAACAGCAAAATCCTAGACTCTTCAGCTTTTCCTCTTAGGGAAGGGGCGCCGCCCCCCCCAAATTCCCTGCAAGATGGCAATTTCTTCCCTTCCATATTGAACATCACAAAAGCCAGCCCCATTCGGTGTAGACCGACCATATTCGTGCAGGTGGTCCCACCCTGGTGGCGCATCTAGCTGCAGTGATCCACCCACCCGGCTCCCCCTGTCAGCGTGAAGACCTGCTTTCTTCCAGCTCTCTGGCCTTCGGCCCGGCCCGACGACTGTGCCACATCGAGTCCCTTGGCAATCCTGCTCGAGAAATCCCTTTCCATCCCTGCACCCTTGCTCTGAGAGGGAGGCCACGCTCTGCCTTTGGAAATGAAGCCAGCCGCGCCATCTTCCTTAAGGAAGACGCCAGTCGTTCATTATCAGCTCTGTCTCTGTGCATTTCTGCAGAAATCATACCGCTTCTGACTTTGGGGACCAGCCGCCGGGAAAGCTAGGAAAGCCCTTTTGCGGCGTGCCCGGTATGAAAGGGACGTCTTGTGTTTTAAAATAGCACCTTCCTCATCAGGGTACACGAATAGACATCCATGCACACCCATGCTCGCATATTTCCGGAGGTATCTCTTCTCTCTGGTTTTTTTCCCCCATCCCCCAGTGACTGGCATAATTTAAAATTAAACAGAGGGGAGCGGCAACAGCCTTAGATTATATATAGAATGGAGGTTGGGGCTGATGGCAAGATTAAATTTTTAAAGCCTTCTTATTTTAAAGGGGCTTTTAGCGACCGCTCGTCACCCTCCCCTTTTTGTAAAAAAAATCACCCACCTGCTAAATGTTTAAGCATTGGGTCGTGGATATTGATTACGGGTTTGAATAAGCAGACAGAAAAGCGATAGGCTGGATATATATTTATTACTGATCTCGCCCTGTTCGATCCTTCTCTTCGAATGGACCAGAGCCAAGGGGAAGGAGGGGAGGCGAATGAACAAGACCCTTCCCCTCTGACCTTTCTGTTTTAAAAAATAAAATAAAATCACAGCATGGTACATATTTCTCCCATTCTCTTACCTTACTAAGGAACGTACCTTCCGGCTGCTAGCACAATGGAGCAGGTTGTCTTTGTGCAGAAGGAGTCTTCTGGTCCAGGGGCGTACAGATGGTCCTCACGCCGTTATTCTCTGCTTTTGTCTGGGTGTGTATGCGTTGCGCACTCTCTCCCTCCCTCCCTCCCTCCTTCTCTCTCCCCCTTTACTGCAATGCAGCCCCTCCTAAAGAGACAGTTTAATTATCCCTCCTCGCCAGTGCTTCGAGACCCATGAATCAGCGATAGGAATAATTTTTCTATTTCCAGTCGTGGGGGAGGAGGGGGGGAAGAACGCCGATGCGAGAGGGATACTATTATATGGGCTCCGAGGACATGTTTGGTAGTGGCGGACAGATCCCTCCAAACAGAGGGCGACAAATTATGAATTAGTATTAGCTGATGATTGATTAACTGCTGTATTATTCCGTTCCAGTCCTCTATGTCCGGGACGCAGCGTTAGAATGTGTCTGGCATTGGCGGAAATCCACACTCCTTTGTCATTCACCTTAGCTCTCAGAGGTGGAATTTAATTCCCATCCGGCCATGATGGAGTTGCCAATTCTGGTTTGGGGAATTCCTGGAGATTTGAGCCTGGAACCTGGGGGAGGGGGGCTGGTGTTTGTTGACAGGAGGGACCGCAATCGGGTATAATGCCATACCGTCCACCCTCCGAAGCAGCCCTTATCTCCAAGGGAACTGAGCTCTGTGGTCCGGAGCGCTGTTGTAATTCCAAGAGATCTCCCGGCCCCACCCAGAGGTTGCAAAACAAAGAGAGAGATCAAGGGATGGAAGTTTGGAAAGAAGTAAACAACTTTTTTTTCATTTTTAAAATGTTTATTAAGAGGAAGTATAACATATATTCGAGACCCGAGTGTGCCGCATGATGGAGCGAGCTCCCGTCTCTAGTTCCAGCTCCTGCCAACCTAGCAGTTCGAAAGCAAGAAATTGCAAGTAGATCAATAGGTACCACTTCGGTGGGAAGGTAACAGCATTCCGTGCACCTTGGTGTTTAGTCATGACCACGGAAACGTCTTCGGACAGCGCTGGCTCTTCGGCTTGGAAACGGAGATGAGCACCGCAACCCTAGAGTCGGATTCGACTGGCTTTCGAGCAAGGGAAACCTTTACCTTTATAACATATCAAGAAATATAATAACTGCAAAACAGTATACAACTGTCCTGAAAATCCAAAATTGCAAACCAACCAGTTAGTCATCAATACAGATTTTTTACAACATACATCAACAGTCATAACAAACTAAGTTAGTCCTAAATCTGATCACCTATACATAGATGCTATGTGAGCTATGATTCCCATAGAATTGAGTCAAGTTTAACATGATTGCGGACTGGAAATCTCCAAGATCTCCAACACTGTCATCCTGGTATGACAAGACCTGGGATCAGTTCGTGATGAATAAGATCTCTAATATTGTGGACCGAGCACAAAACAGTTCCAGCAAAACATATGATAAATGTGTACGTGCCTGGTTCCCTGTACTTGACTTCATGGCTGAAAATAATGTGCTTCCTTCTAGGACGAGTTATCATACATGGCTACACTTTTGAGTTTAACCAGACCTCCACCTTACTGTCGGGACTCCTCTTGTGAAGAAGTAAACAACTGTGATGTTGGTTTTTTGGCATTATACATCACGGTTGTTTACTTCTTTCAAAACCCACCTGGAGGTTGGCAACGATACAAGATGTGTGCAAGGCACCACCCCCCACCCCACGCTCCTGCAGTTTGCTTTCACGGTAGGTTCAATTAGCTTTCACTGTTAACGGGAGTGACCTGTTTTTCAGGAATTCGCGAAATCATTACACAAAAAAAAGCTATTTTAAGAGCCGGAACATATGGAAGAGGAAGAGGAGATTGGATTTATACCCTGCCCTTTGCTGCCCGAAGGCGTCTCAGAGCGGCTTACAATCTCCTTCCCCTCCCCACAACAGACACCCTCTGAGGTAGGTGGGGCTGAGAGAGCTCTTTCAAGGGCTGCAGTTGAGAGAACAGCTCTGAGAGAACTTGTGACTGACCCAAGGTCACACCAGCAGCTGCATGCGGAGGAGTGGGGGATCAAACCTGGTGCTGGGTTGTGGAGGTCTTCCTCCTCCTCGTCATCTTTATTTTTATTTTTTAACATGGCCCGCAAGTCACCTCTGGTTGCCGAAGCACTGACAGGTGGCCCTAACAAAAGACGTGTGGTTTCAAATCATTCTTGCTTGCCGTGGTGGTATCCTGAGTGCACCAGTTGTAATCGCTTTACACCCCCCCACCCCCCGTCTGATCACTCTCCACTGTTGTAGAGCCACTTCCGTTCGGAAGCCCAAGGCTTCCACTTTTCGGCCACAATTTTTTTTGTTAGGTCGGTGATATGCACTTGGGTTAGGGTTTTCCGTTTATCGAGAAAAGGAACTCTGTGTGGGTTTCAGGTCTCTGTGGCTAATTCGTGCGTCTTCTGGCAGGGTAAAAGTTGGTGCCAGTCAGCCCCTTGATTTTTTTGTTAACCCTGTTTTTCTCTGTGGAAGGAGGAGGAGATTGGATTAATACCCTGCCCTTCACTACCCAAAGGAGTCTCGTTAGAGTACTAAAGGAAGACCTTAAAGATTTCATCAGTAGGACCCCTAGTGGAAAATGCTGCTGTCATAAGAACAGAAGAGAAGCCAGTGTTGGATCAGGCCAGTGGCCCATCCAGTCCAACACTCTGGGTCACACAGTGGCCAAAAATACCAGGGGCCATCAGGAGGTCCAGCAGTGGGACCACTGGGGACACTAGAAACCCCTCCCACTGTCCCCCCTCCAAGCACCAAGAAGAATTTATATTGGATTTATATTCTTCTTCCTTATTCCTAGTAAGAACATAAGAGAAGCCTACGTTAGGTCAGGCCAATGGCCCATCCAGTCCAACACTCTGTGTCACACAGTGGCCAGAAATACCAGGTGCCATCAGGAGGTCCAGCAGTGGGGTCAAGACACCAGAAGCCCTCCCACTCTTGCCCCCCCCCCCAGCACCAAGAATACAGAGCATCACTTGCCCCAGACCGAGAGTTCCTATCGATACCTTGTGGCTCATAGCCACTGATGGACCTCTGCGCCATATAATAGCATCAGAAAAGCCAGTGATGGATCAGGCCAATGGCCCCTCCAGTCCAACACTCTGTGTCACACAGTGGCCAAAAATACCAGGTGCCATCAGGAGGTCCAGCAGTGGGGCCAGGACACTAGAAGCCCTCCCACTGTCCCCTCCCCCCAAGCACCAAGAATACAGAGCATCACCTGGCTCAGTTGGGACCCTGAGGCCTGTCACTATGTGTGCTTTACAAATACACATTCTAATCCAGAAAGCGATGGTAGCCTTTGACACCTTCTTACCCAAATTATGTGGTCCCTGTGAAACGAACAGAGAATCTGACTCCGTAAGAGCCGGTGTTCTCTTGATGTAAATGCGGAGGGCCCTTGTGACATCTAATTTGTGCCACACTTTCTTTTTCTTTACTGTGAACTGGCTTTGGGCAAAAGGATTCATGTGGACATAAGAAGATAAGAGAAGCCAATGTTGGATCCAGTCCAACACTCTGTGTCACACAGTGGCCAAAAACACCAGGTGCCATCAGGAGGTCCAGCATTGGGGCCAGGACACTAGAAGCCCTCCCACTGTTGCTCCCCCCCCCCCAAGCACCAAGAAGAAGAAGAGATTGGATTTATATGGGATTTATATTCTTCTTCCTTATTCCTAGTAAGAACATAAGAGAAGACTACGTTGGGTCAGGCCAATGGCCCATCCAGTCCAACACTCTGTGTCACACAGTGGCCAAGAATGCCAGGTGCCATCGGGAGGTCCAGCAGTGGGGCCAGGACACCAGAAGCCCTCCCCCTGTTGCCCCCCCCCCAAGCACCAAGAAGAAGAAGAGATTGGATTTATATGGGATTTATATTCTTTTTCCTTTTTCCTAGTAAGAACATAAGAGAAGACTACGTTGGGTCAGGCCAATGGCCCCTCCAGTCCAACACTCTGTCTCCTGGCTGACATGCAATAGCGGAAGGCATCACATTAAGCCGCACGGAATATGGCACTTGATCAGCCTTGAGAAGAAACTTGCACAACAACAGACTGATGTTTCCTTTCTTACAAAATGCAAAAACTGGGACTATTCTGAAGAAGTGTGTTTGCACACAAAAGGTTACACCATGAAGTAAACTTTGCTGATCTCAAAAGTGCCACTGGAATCAAAGTTTGTTCTATACTGAATGCACATAAATGAAAATCACCACCACCACCAAACTGCCAATGGGTAGAGGGGAGCACTGGCCCAAATGTGTGATACTTATTGAGATATATTTCAGAGTGATAGAGGTAGCAAGCAGTTACTATAGATCAGTTTGTCAGACCTAGCTGTCAAGCTAGTAATCATGTAATTACAGCCAGGTGTTTTCTAGCAGATGTTGCTCTTTCAGGGCTTGTTAGAGCTAGTGATTACATCACCTTGTTAGAGATTGGCTGGGGTTTAGCATAATAGCTATCAGCTTAGTAAACTGGGTGGGGACTCAGTTCTCATAGATTAAGGCACGACATGCTGTTCAATAGCCTGTAACTGTTTCTGTATATATTCACCTTTATAACTATATAAACTCTCTGTGCACCTTCATAACTGGCCAGTCTCCCGCTTCTTATTCACAACACCCAATAATACTTGGGGCAGCCAATCAGCAGGGAAGATTCCTCCCTTGTGATCACCTCTGGGAATCCTTCCTGGGCCTGTCTCCTCCCTCCATGGCTCAGGATTTATTTCAATGTACAAAATTCAGATCCCGCCCTTCAGCCCCTGCAAGGGGCACCCTGGTGGCTGCTTATTTAATCCGATTCATATCCTGCTCCCTCTCCCCGGAATGGGACCTCCAGCTTGTCAAAGTCACCCAATAAGAGACAATATAGAGATGTTAAAAATGCAAAAGGAAGAAGAAGAAGAGATTGGATTTATACCCCATGGCCCTTCACCACCCAAAGGTGTCTCAGAGCGGCTGACAAACTCCTTTCCCTTCCCCTCCCCACAACAGACACCCCGTGAGCAGTGTTCCCTCTAAGCTGAGTCAGTGTGAGCCAGCTCACAGTTTTTTAGCGTCCAGCTCACAGATTTTTGTCTTTGTTCAGGA